CTCCTCAGCTCCTCAGGTATGTGGTGGAAAATGCCGGCACGTCCCATTGTTTGTGAAAGCAGCTTCTCCCTTGGATAAACAAGATGTCCACCGCTATATTGTCCATAAAAAGTCATTGTATCCATAGGATATATAAAGTTATACACGGCTAGTGTAATCTACTGAGTTAAAAGTTTTTTAAAAAACACACTAAAAGCTAAAAACAACACGATGGAGCTACTGGATAAGCGCCCTGCTCGCGCCGGATTATCTCAGCTATGTATATATATATATATAATTAAATCAATATCATAAACATGAGACAACTACTAATTCCTACAAATTGTCACATATTACTTACTATGCTACACTAAGATAGTGTACATGGTTAATATCAGTTAATATATGATCATTGTGAGCATGTTAGCATGCAGATGTTAGCATTGCTAGCATTTGTTACCTTGAAAAATAGTAGCTTATGGAAACAAGAGTGTATGCCACACATGTCCCATCATAGACATTTTTAGACACTGCATTTTAAATAGATTTTGCCCCTGTTCAATTAAATGTTGTTCAGCCAGTTTATAACAACAATAAAGCAGTGTTCTGCAGTAAAAAAAAGAGTAAGGATTCAGAATCATAACTCATACAGATTACGCACTGTGCCTGTTAGTGGGTGTTAGTGTTTACTGAAGGTACATACAGAGTATGTCTGTGCATGTGTGTGGGTGACACAGAGAGAGAGAGAGAGAGAGAGAGAGAGAGAGTGTGTGTGTGTGTAAGCGAGTGTCCTTTGGGAAAATGTGTTCTTCAACACTAATACCTCTCCCTGCCCTTGATGGTGGAATCGGGACAGTATGTTACCATGGCGACTGGCCCCGTAACGGTTACCACGGCAATATGAGAAAGAAGAAGCGATGCAGCAGAGGGTTGTCAAGGAGACCAATAGATTGAGGGAGGAAAAGAGAGGAGATTGCGAACAAAGGAGGAGAGAAGAGATGAGAGGGGTTGAAAAGATACAAACAGAGGAGAAGGTAAAGAAGGGATTAGGAAGGAATGGACTGTAGAGAAAGGAAGGGGTGGTGGACAAGCAAGAAGAAAAATTGGCTGGTTTTGCAGAAGAGGACAATTTGTCTTGAACTGAACCCAGGGCTGTGACACATCATCATGTAGCAACCAAGTCATGGTCACCTTGAGGAGGCCTAATTCTGTCATGTCCAACTATTTTCGGTGTTCACCTCCAGGAAGGACTCTGCTGACCAACCATACTGGCAGGGAGGAAGGAGGACATCCTGACATGTGGCCTCTGGCCCTCCTTGGAGTCTTGTCATACTGAGAGCGAGGGGTCACTTAGATGACCTTGTGGTCTGTTGGCTTAGTTACTACTACTACTTTCTGGCACATAACCAGCAGTGTCTCAATGCTTACAGCTTTTTAGTGACAGCAGATGAGAGTGATGTCAGATACTGCTAAGGGACATTACAGCTTAGCTCATGTCTTCACAGCCAAGATGTCAACAAACACTTAAGAATCAGCAGCTTAGTTTTCAGGAAGTTGTGGGGAAACAGCTTGCTGTTATCATGGAATTATAGAAAGCGACACCTATACCTATACTTAAGAACCCCTTTAGACAGGATTATAAATATTAATCAAAGTGAATCACATTTTTGAGGGGCTAAATATGATCGAAAAGTTATGAAACGCGGCAGACAATGTCACGAGTGGCAAAAATGTACGTGGTAAAATGGCTCAATAGCCACAGGACGTTTCACCAATATATATGAAAACCGGCACACACAGTTACATTACCCTCAACCCAACAGGATGTCATCCAGTTTAAATTTAGTGATAATTTCTGGCCATTTCCATATTTTGTACTAACAGAACAGTAACACAGAGTAGACTGTAACAACTTGAAACCAGGTCAGTGCAATATAGTAAATGGTAAATGGACCTGTACTTGTATTGCGCCATTCTGGTCTTCCGACCACTCAAAGCGCTTTTACACTACGTGCCACATTCCCTTTCATACACATTCACTCAGCAATGGCAAAGTCCATCGAACAGAAACTAACGCATTCGTACACATTCACACACCAAAGAATAGCATTGGGAGCAATTCAGGCTTGAGTATCTTGCTCAGGGATACTTAGACATGTGGCGGGAGGAGCCAGGGATCGAACCAACAACCTTCCGATTAGTGGATTACCCGCTCTTCCCACAGCCGCCCTATGAAGACCTTTGCATAAAAAGTTTTGTAAATCACTGAATGGCATGTCTGTGATGTGGTGTCAAATTTCAAGTATCACAGTGTACATGGTTCAACTCCTCCAAATGGCACATATTTGATTCCCAGCCTGAACACATCTAAATCTGTAAGTAACTGAGGTTATACATCATCCATCGTATTGGTAAGTCTAAGTATTTGTTTGTTTTTTTAAGTTGGATGTTATTTTTTCCTGTTGATCTGACACATTCAGAGTCATTTCCACTTTAGCTGTCAGCCTTCGAAGATCCAGTGTGGATTCAGTGGTAGTAGGCCAGTTTGAATTTAGTGCAATAGTTGCCATTTCCACATGTAGCACTTTAGTGAGCTCAACATTTTTTAAAGTTTGGTAGATCGTTGAACTATCGTGTCTGTGACGTGCCATCAAATTCCAAAGTATCACCATATACCTGAACACATTTACATGCTATTATTCAGTTATAGTCATAACGACTCCTACTGGAAGCAGGAAATGTCATGTTTTATACTTTGATCCACCTCAGATTAGGTCTGAAGAGCCTTAACACCTTAATAATGCAATAGTGTGAATGTGGTGGGTGTCTGCTAAATGGCGTGTCCATGATGTGGTGCTTGTGGCGTCTATTACCATGAGACATGTAACCAAGTGGGTCTCTAACGCTATGCACAGAAAGTGACACAAACTCTGTCGTGCAGTGTCTAAAATACATGAAAATTCAGAGATGTGCCAACCAACCTCCGGTAACCACACTACAGCAAACACTAATGCGCTTGCAGCTTTCATTTCCACATTAAAACCATTAAAAAGTCATCTATTCCTACCTCATTTAAAATTCCAGAATCTCTGAATATGCAATTCAGTCAGGACCACTTTTGTCAA